CATTTGTTGAATGGTTATTAGGGGCGTTCATTCAGGCATTAGTTGAATGCCCAGCTAACTAGTTCAGAGATTCTTGTAAGACCGTTTTCTGAATGGGCAGGATACACTTTTTTTGAATGGGTTTCTATAATGGGTTCATGAATGCTCAAATTTTTTGCTGGGCATGAGCCAAAATTCTGAAAACTCTGCTCCAAACTTTCTACGGCTCACCAAGAACAGTAAAACAAACAAAAAATTCTTCAAGCGAACCTTTAATATCAACCAGGATGCGCTACCAAATACAGTATAACCGAAATAATTTCAAACCGTAAAAAAACAAGCCTCAAAATCTTTAGCAAAAAACAATCCCTCATTCTCCACTTGAGCATGGAGATTTCAACACAAGAGGCCAACACAGTTCCATAATGACTATAATGCCATTTTTTTCAAGAATCCTTTTTGAAATACGCTTGGACGGATCTTGAAAATCCTGACTTTGAGCCATCTCCTTCACTAAGTTCCTGCATTCGTTCGAATCCAACTTCCAGAATCAAGATCTTGGGAAAATCCACTGGCCTGATCTTGATTTCCTGGTACGTACGCCGCAGTTCTTCCTGTCGATAGAAAAAAACATCAGTCCATCATGGAAAAGCCCCACTTATTCTTCTCGCGTTAAAATTTAATCAATTGTACCAGGGAAAAACTGAAAATAAAATCCAGTGAACTTCACTTACATAACCTTATATTGAATTCATCTCACACATACCCTAAAACTAAAGTAAATTCAAACACCCGCATTGAAACGGAAAAATTCATTCCAAAGGAAATTCATCAGTTATTCAAATACAGTATTAAAAGAATATTGCCACCATTTATTTTTCAATTAAAGCTTCCAAAGGGAACAAACGTAATTTAATTGAATTAAACACTCAAAATTCTATCCATTAAGAAAGCCTTCAACGAACTTTAATCACGGAGATCATTCAAACAGCGCAAAAAAATGACGTTTTAAAGGAACAATTCATGACAGTATACTCGGAAAAAGCGCTTACACATATTTTGTAAGACTTGGCATAAGTCTTCCACGTCTGCGGCTCCATTACGAAAACCCCTCCCGGTCTAAGTTGATTGAAAACCCTTTTGAAAAGCCGCATGATCCCGGCATCACCGAAGTTCAGATGCACCCACTTGGTCACACTCAGACACAAGATGACATCATACTCTGGTTTTGAAGTGTCCACAACAGTGTCATCATCACCAACATAATTCCCTGCCACGAACCCGATGTTGTACGGAAAATCGTGTCGCATTTTAGCTGCTCCTCGGAATTTCCCGTCAAGACGCAGGTCTTTCGCAAGATCCGACTTCTTCGCACGTTTCTGGGCCATGGGCCCATCTTCGGAAGTGTTTTCTCCTGAGCTAAAGTAATGAGGTAGGTTTTTCCGGGCAATGTGAACTAGTGAAGGATCAATGTCGATGCCGACGATGCGACGAGGACAGAAATCCCTAGCGATGCTGTAAGTGATGTGTCCAATGTTGCAGCCAATGTCCAGACAGCTTTTGTTCTCGAACCAGGCCCGAGGCAGGTGATCCAAACGAACGTCTTCTCCGTTGGGGTTCCTTTTGCCGTAGTATTGGTTGTAATTTCCGTACCTGCAAAAATATAAAATTCCCATCAGAACATTTGAGTCAAATTTTCAGGAATCTAGACAAAAAAATGTGCCGACTTAGAAATAAAATGCATTAACACAGTGAAATTAACTCCACGATGGCGTTATTATGTCGACTCAGAATAATTCTACAAGAACTCAGAAATGTATTTTCATCATGAAGAAAATCATGATTTTTGGTGCTAATCACGCCTCAGTTAATTGGAAATGTACTTAAAACTTCTGCACTGTAGAAAACGAAATTACTCGTGTAAGATATTTGTCTGTACTGTATAATCAAATAGAATAGATAATTACATACTGCCGAAAAATTTTCTCGAACCTCTTCAATAAAACCAATTAACCAGACAACATGTTACAGATGTCAGTAAATTCGGCCTCTGAATAAAATTAAAATAAAGGAAGCATTTCAAATCGAAGTTTTTGCTCAGTTGCTGCTTTCGTTGGATTAAATCAAAATACTGGACACAGAAAAAAATGATGATCCGAGTTTCGCAGCAGCTAGAAGGAAAAGAAAATCATAACGTCAAAAGGTACGTTTTATTTGATTTTTTTTAAGTAAACGGAAAAAAAATACAGCTGTCAAAACGGAGAAATTCATATTTCAGAAATTTGCAAGGCCTTTACTGCGTTCTACTCAAGAAATTAAAGAGACTTCAATTTTTTGAATATAAAGGCCAAACACGCCATCATCTCCTAAATGTACTGTTCATAATATTCGAAATCCAAACTGTTGTCTGCCAAATTTGCATCTCTGAAGGAATACTGCAGCCTGAATTACCGAAAAATTTGCTTCGGCTTCGCAGAAAATTGCTCTTCATTGGAATGCCGATTGCGGGTCCTCCTCTCGGAAAAAACATCAACATTTTGAGAACCAATCGAATCAAGTTTCAACATCTGCTTTCCATCTTCGGCGACACCCCGATCCAGGGAATGATTGCAATTGGCGTCTAAAGCTGTCTTTAACTCATCTCCACCCACAATGTCATTTTCAGTGCCAATCTCAGGCAGCAGCTCTGCACTGCCAACATTCACCATCTTTTTTCCAGATTTCTCCTTTCAAAAAAATACGAACGAGTATTAATGAAAATGTCATTCGATGCAAAGACGAGAAATGAAACTCGGTGAACTCTTACAAGCCTTTATCTGACTCTGGGCAACCTGAAAGTTGCCTCAATAAGGCTGAATGCAATGATCGAAAGAAAACCAACACTTCGCCAACACAACAAAAATCCCGTCACTTCTCTGCAAAAAACACGAAGACTTGCTCACAAATAATTTCTTTTGATTTTTATTTCCCGCGGGTTACGCCAAGATTCTATCATGAGATTTAAAAAAAAAAAAAGAAGTTAACAGACACAATGACGTTATCCATTTGCATAACGCAATAAAATGATGAATCATGACCCAGGTCAAAAATTTTCCCCTTCAATGAGTTTACAAAGGAATATTGCCGTGTTTCTTGGGGGGATTCGACAATTTCTTCCTGTCCAAGATATCTAGATCCAGACACAATCGGCGTCTCGTCGTCCTCGGCTCAATAATGTCATCCACGAACCCTGAAATTAAAAATGATGCAATATGAAAAAACAAACAACAGAAACAGTATTTCAGTTGAACCTCCTCATGCGAAATATTTTTCGGACACTTCTTCAAATTCCCTTAGAAAGAATGACAAACCTCCTCAATTCAAAAATTTTCCTCCTGAAACCTCCAAAACTCGAATTTTCTGGAGACCTTACGGCAATTTTACTACTGACAAGTGAAAGAGAAAAGCAACAAAAAATTCCACTTTGTGCGCTTTGAAAGGAAGAGAAGACCAATTGAGCAAATTAACCCTTGCTTCCAAGTTCAGCATCTTGTCAACTCATTCAAGAGGCCATTTACAGTACTTCCCAGAATGTCAACAATTCAAATGTCCTGCAATTCCCCCCCCCCCCAAAATTAGGCTGGTTTCCCTAACCCAAAACCTCTCAAAGTCGATTTTTTTTGCTGTTCCCTTGAAGTTCAAATTAAAGAGTTTTGACTGCATAGCTTTAATGGAGACAGATCAACTCTGTACAACGAATTTTCCCTGTGTAACAAGTATATTTTTTCTGGTCCCACGGGGTTCTCTTTCATACAGTAGTTTAGGGGTTGTCTACAAACAAAATTCTTTCTACAACGAATTTGTTTCTGGCACCCTGAATTTCGTTGTTAGACACGAGTCCACTTGTATTCAACAACAAAAACTCCCACGAACCTCGAACAGCAGCAGGGAAAGGGTTGCCAAACTTGTCCATATACTCCTGTTCCGCCTTCGCAACTTCATCAGCAGACTTGCCGCCAAACAAAATCTTCACAGCTCCCTTCGCTCCCATAACTGCAACCTCGGCAGTGGGCCAGGCATAATTCATGTCGCCTCGCAAATGCTTGCTCGACATAACGTCATAGGCTCCACCATACGCCTTCCTCGTGATGACCGTGATCTTTGGCACTGTCGCTTCCGCGTACGCATACAACAGCTTGGCACCATGACGAATGATGCCGCCATATTCTTGGGCCGTACCCGGAAGGAATCCAGGCACATCCACGAAAGTGATGATGGGGATGTTGAACGCGTCACAGAACCGGACAAAGCGAGCTCCTTTCACGGACGAGTTGATGTCCAGGCAGCCTGAATTCATAAAACGGCATTCGGAAATAAACGTACTTGGACGGTAGAAAAACCTATCCCAGTTTTAGAAAAAATTCAGCACACCAACGAAAATATTTGGCAATATTTATTCGCATTATTTACTGTCAATTCCAGAAGTTTAAAAAAAACTCTGCATTGAATGTTTTTCACCATATTCCTCTTTTTTATGAAAAAAAATTCTCTACTCATTCGGAGATCAAGTGTCACTTAAATAAAACCGTGGGACCCTCAAACGCGGATATAATTGGCCCTAGGAACTTTTCCCTATGTTGGAACATTAACATGTTGGATCATGTTTTTCCATAGACTTGAATGCGAGCACAATTGATTGGTTCTCCTGTTGCTTAAAATTTAGCAAAAAGCCCACCAAAATTGTAATAATGGTTTCCCTCAACTTCAAGACACAGAAAACAACTGTGAAAAGAAATCATATAGAATCTCCTCTTTGGCATCAAAAGAGCTCAAAACGCAAAGAAGGATATTTTTGCTATACTGCGCACAGAAAATAAAAGAAACTTTGAAAAAATCACAAAATGGGCGTGTTTTTGATCATTAATACGAGTAGATTCATAATGAAATAATTCTTAAATTTTTGTGCATATACATAGTTCAATTTGTTAAAGAGGCATCCAAGTTTTAAAAAATAAAACTTTCCTGCTTTTCTGAAAATGTTGGTAAGGTTTATTTATCTTGAGACATGTTGAGGCATATTTTTTCAAGTTTTGAGTATCCTGAAGTTTAATCGTCCATATGACTAGGCCACATCGTACAATTTTCCTTGGGGTCAATGCCAATACCCACAAAATGATGACCTACTGACAGTTTGCATTTTCAAAGAAATAAAAAAATCAAACACATAAAAATGACACGAAAAAAAGATTAATTTCTTCAAAAGGCGTCGAAAATAGACCCAGGAAAACAGCTGAAAAGGAAAAGTTCGTTAAACCCGCGTGATGCTTCTATACTTACCAGCAGCGACTTTGGGCTGATTGCCAACGACTCCAACGGTGCGTCCGTTCAGCCTCGCAAACCCAACGATGATGTTCTTCGCATAATTCGCCTGGATTTCAAAGAATTCGGATTCGTCAACCACGGCTTGGATGACATCGAGCATGTTATACGCTGAGGTGGTCTCCAAAGGCACAACAGTGTCCAGCCCAATCACATCTCGATTCCTATGAAAGTTTCAAATGAGAAGATGCTCGAAAAATATAAATTTTCGATTTTTTTGCCAATTCAGGCCAATTATACCTTGTACTATGCACTAAAAATGAGAACGCTTCAACAGCTGTAGTTGGAATATTGTGAAAGGAGGAATGAAATAAAAATATCGAGAACATGCTGAAAGTGCTTGAAATCCCGAATTACATTTTTGGCCTTTTAAGGAAATATCTCAGACTCAAAAATATAATATGTTTTAAAAAGTTAGGAAATATTTTTTCAAAAGATGCCACAATGCTTTCATCTCTAACAGTATGATAGCAAAAAAATTATGCCCGGAAATTTATACTTTCCTTTGAATCCCCAGACAGTCACGGATTATCGAAAATATAACAGGAATTTTACGAATTTATACAGAGGCAGTGTGGCCTGTGGAAGAAGAAAATAACACAAGACCCTAAAGTTTAGAACTTACCAAGGATCGTCACACTGGCGAATCGGAGCCGGATCTCGGTTAGACAGTGGCAAATAGCTGAAAAACGTCCTCATGCTCATTAGGGCGTCGACGTCATTATCAAAGGCGCCATGAGCTACACCGGAGACTGAAGTGTGCGTTTTAGCTCCTCCGAGCTCTTCCTGTGACACATCCTCGTTCGTGACAGCCTGTAAACAGAAAAAAAAACCTTCTCGTCAAGTCGCAATTTCACAACGCTTTCAAAACGCGAGTAAAAAGGCATACGGAAAATACCTTTACAACATCTGGTCCAGTAATGAAAAGATAGGAGGAATCCCGGACCATGAAGGTGAAATCCGTCAGCGCCGGGGAATAAACGGCGCCTCCAGCACAGGGTCCCATAATCAAAGAGATCTGCGGAACGACTCCCGAGCTCATCACGTTCCTTTGGAAAATGTCGGCATAACCGGCAAGGGATTCCACTCCTTCCTGGATTCGGGCCCCGCCAGAGTCATTAAGACCAATGACCGGGGCTCCGACCAACATGGCTTGGTCCATTATCTGAGAAACGAGCACTTGAGAAATCTCTGACATAAACTCCACGTTTGAAATAAGCCAACCTTGCAAATCTTCTGCGCGTGAATGGAGGATAAGCTACCCCCGAATACTGTGAAATCTTGACTGAAGATATACGCTGTCCTTCCGTTAATCTTCCCGTGACCCGTGACAACGGAATCTCCAGAGATCTTAATAAAATGCGAGAACACGTAATGGAGGGATAAATTGAGACCTACCGAAACAATTGAATACGGGTGATTACCTTCTTCTTCTCCATACCGAAGTCGCTGCAACGATGCTCCGCAAACTGATCATACTCCGAGAACGTGTTTGGATCACAAAGCAACAAGATACGCTCTCGAGCGGTGAGTTTACCCTGTTACAAGAAGCTCTGGTATATCTGCACTCCAATCACTATCGAAATGCACCAACCTTTTTATGTTGAGCTTCGATACGTTTCGGACCACCACCCTGAAGTGCTGCTTCCTTGCTAGATTTGATCCGATCTTTCACGCTCAAGGTGTGGGCGATCGTTGAGCAAGGCCTGGTCAACAACAACGGCGAATACGCTCGCGACGCGCCGGTCAGCGTTGCGAGAAACATTTTCACGTGGTAATAGTAACTAAAGTAATGAACAAAACCACCGCTGGAACACCGAGTTTCAAGAGTAATAATCTAATACACGCGCTTCATATAATACGGAAAGCATATTACGAACGAGACTACGCGTATATCCATCAGGTATAAACTTCTAACGACGCACAACCTCGTGACATGCGCCCCAGCCGGCATTCGGGTAGCAACTGAAGAAGGTAGTTGCCAGACACAGGGGCAGCTAACGCGCGCGTTCTCTGACTTTCCCCGAACAGAAGAACTTCTACGTAACCTTCGTTTTGGACACACGACAGTATTATAAATTACTGTAGACATGCTTGATTTTCACGGCCAATTTAGCGAAGTAGCGGTAGAATATACTGTACGTCTGACTATACCGCCACGCTTAATGCTGTTATTGCTGTACTGCACAGTAAACACTTGCATGACTGCCGTTTCTCGGAAAACTTTGAATCCCATTAGCTAGATGTCGTGCGATTCGGTCAAGGGGATTTGAGTTTAGAATTCAGTTATGACAACATTGTATGGTGCAGTAAATTACATTGCTTGTTCAGCACTGTACTGTACTAAAATGTACATGTTACGTCACAAGGCCGTATTTATTATGGCATATTATGTGCGGCATAGCAGAGACAATACAATCAGGAATGAAGCTGATGTACCTGCAAGCCTCAGCTAGGGTTCTTATTATAATATTATAATATTATATTATAATATTATATTATATTATATTATATTATAATATTATATTATAATATTATAATATTATGTCAGAAAAAAAATGAGAATAGATGATGTCATTTCAGCTGCAACTGCAGGGTGGCTTTTCAAACTTGTTTAAACTTAAAGTTTAGTTTTTTATCTATACCTGCATCCATGCAATATTGATCAGTGATGTCCATGCAGTATATACATGTACAGTACAGTATTTCCAAAATAATGCGCTTTGCTGGTTGCATTGTTGATCCCTTTCACAATACAGCATCACCCAGTGCTGTAAGCTATTAGCTAAGCCAGCTTCTTATTATTATTCGAATATAGCTGACATGTTCCTGTATATATACAGCACAATATTTAATAAAGCTGTGGATACATTTTGAAAGCTTACATTTATACAAGAGCTATTCGGTAATGCTCTCTCGCTGGATGTGCGCTCTGTTCCACCTATATACAGTACAGTGAATGCAGCTACAGTAAACACAGTACAGTATAGCAGCTCTGACTCGAATTGCTATGAAAAAAGTTGCCGACGAAGATGGGATTCGAACCCACGCGGGCAGAGCCCATTGGATTAGCAGTCCAACGCCTTAACCACTCGGCCACCTCGTCCTCATGAGGGGAGGAGCTATCTACTTGAGTATATGACCTTGTATACCTTGAGGCAATAACTGCACAGCTGTTCACACATGGAACAATACTATACATATAACTTGAAAAAATTCACAGTTTTTAACTGTATGCATTTTATTCCATTGTGACGGCTTGGAGAAAAAAAAAACACAACAGCCAAAAAAGAAAGAAGAGCAATCTGCAGAAAATGCTGCAAGTATACTGTATACAATATCAAGGTATGTATATACAGCACTAACAGCAGTATACAGTAATATATTTGAATTTTACTGCATGAATATGTACAGTATTTTTTTCAAAGCAATTTCTTTAAACTTTGCGTGGATTTAAAATAAAAATAAATATCATACCATATAGAATGCTAGTTGGTATGAATGCTCTGTATATATATTGTCTTTAAAAAACTGTATACTGCATTTAAGCTCATTCTGGGCTGTTATTGCAGCGCAGGAACGCAATATATATGCACACGAACTTTTCTTTATAGGGTTCTCGCTATTATACCCAGTTTATATAGGGATTCTCTGCAAAAAAAAAAAAATGTCTGCATCGCATTTTTTCTCTTTTTGAATTACAATGTCCACCCCTGGAAATCTGTTCTGCATCATGTATATTTTCATTTCATGATTTCTTCATCAAGCATATAATGTGCATTAACTTCAATTTGAGAAATTTTGAGGCGCAGATTTCGGTTTTTTTTTTTGTCTGCTGTTTTTCTGTCGTTTTAGGGAATTATTCAGAAGGGGAGCAGGAAAATTTTCATGATGATGCATAGTTGGCTAAGAGATGGAAAAGGCATCAATGGGAAAAAAACGGTGACGAGAGCCTATTATATATAGTAGGTCATTTATCTTATTATCAAGGAGCAAATCCTCAGAAAGAATTAAATCCATCTGAAGGAAATCTTGCAGCTTGGCCAAATAAAATGTGTGTACGTTTTTTTAATACTTTTTAATTGAAACAAAGGACATTGAGTATATATATGTATATGGGAAATATGCTGAGATGATGTCAGAATCAGCAGCAGAAGCAGGGAAAATTTAAATTAACACGTGGGAATATTTTTTATTTTGGCAGACTATACAATTGAAGTTTTTCCCAATGTGATATGGAATGCAGTCCTTTCATCAGTCAAGACAGCAAAGAATTTCAAGCGCAACCCATGTAACAGCAAGAAAATTAGGCTTATATATTCTGTTGCACCTTTCAGGGATTTTAAATAATTAATAACTGTATGGTATATTTCAAATAATTTATAAATCTGCTTTCTTGTATATTCATTGAATATTTCCTATAAGTCAGCATGGTAAACTACACACAATGGACAATTGAAAATTTTTCCGAGGCCAGAATTCGATTTAGCATTGGTTTAAAATATAAGATTGTTTTAAAATATAAATTCTAAAAAAATGTACACCAGCATATTATATCTATTATATTGGACAGGTAGTAGATTATTCTATTTTTATACATGCATGATTCAGTTAAACTACTTAAACACTCAAAAATAACTGCTGCCAATAATGAACTTGTCTTTATTTCAAGCATTTGATGTAAGACTAAATTGCCTCCGTCAAAATAAGCAGTTTCAATTTTACAGAGATCAGCTGTTTCAGGTGCTGCAATTTATTTTCCTGTTCAGCATTCTACAAATAATGTAAAATGAAAAAAAAAACATTGCGTGATTGGATGATGAGTAATTTCACACAACAGCTGTATATACACAATAATCCTAAAAATATTTCCTGCGCACTTTGATTTTTATTTCACTATAAAAAAAATTCAGCTGAATGTTTTTCAAACTGCTGTTGGCTCCATATCAGGGTCCTTGTTTTTCAGATGCATGGTTTAATTTGGTCCATGCTGAAGGCGTTTATTCGAACTTCGTCAAAAATGGTATATACTGTACTGTACAGTACTTGATATATACAAGCATCAGCATGAAAGAAAAAAATATTTTGTTTGTTTTCTTTGGGTTCCTTATTATTGCTATTGAAAAAATGGTTCACGCTTTCTTGTTTGTTCCCAAGCAGCTGCGCGTTTGAAAAGTTCTGATCGATGGGAAACTTCGCGTGAATAAGGAACAAATATATTTCTGGAGCCAGCAAGTATGTATGACTTTCCCTGGGTCACCATGTCATCAGTTGGCATTATTGTAGCTTTGTGCTTGCTGATTTTATACGCGTGGATTACTTGGGCATCAGCTCCTTATCCTCCTTACATCGTGGTGAAACGTGTTTGTAGGAAAGATGGCAACACTGCTGAGTGTGAGGTAAGCTGCTGGAGAGCTTTAAAAAAGATTTGAAAAAAATACTGCATATGATTCAGCAGCATGTGCAGGGATTTAAATTGTGGATAATAATGTTCTCTATTTAAATTGCAGTTGATAACTTGAACCTCTCCAAATTCCGTTCATAAACAATATTTATTAAAAACCTTGAAGACCTCTTTTATACTCAAATTTTCTGGAGGTATTTTTGCTATTATTCTATTGACCCATTGAAGAGAGAAGCAATAAAAATGTCAAATTGAGTTTTTTTTTCAAAGGGAAAAGGAAGAATAATTTTGCAAATGAACCATTGCCTTATCCAAGTTTAGCAGCATATCCTGTCAACTCATTTAAAATGCAATTTGAGGCCCAGAATATAGCCAATATTGCAATTCACTAATAATTCTTCTTTCTATTCCCCAATAAAAATGCTCATTCCTCTATATATGAAAATTTCCCTATCTTGCTTTTTCAAGATTATTTTCCTTTTAAGTTTGACTTGAAGAGAATCAACTGTGGTAAATACATTAAAAATTTATAAGTGACAAATACTGTATATGTTGGGATCATTCTCAGGATTATAAATTTCAAATTTGTTTAGCTCATGAAAAACTTGATGTTTCTTTTTGTCATGCATGAACACATTTATATTAACATATTCTATTATCATGATTATGACACATGCAAATTCAGAAAAGCCTTTCCATTGTTTTTATTATATGTTGTTCAATCTAAGGAAACCTTGGTCTCTATGGGATGGTCCAAAAATCTGCAAATACCTGTATAATACAAATTCTGATTTACAATAATAACCTCAGAAAGATCTGAAACAACCCAGAAAAATGGCAATACTTTTTACCACTGTAATTTTAAAATAATGTACTTTATTGCTGCATGCTGAGGAAATATAAGGGTACAGCAGTATTGTATTTTAATTTCAAATATTTTGCGAATTTTTAATTCACCCCACTAGCTTGAAAATAAAACGTTATTTTTTTTATTCTATGCATACACAAGTGCTGAGAATTGTCTTGCATTTTATACAGATGAAATTTATTTTTAAAATATAAATAAGTTAATTCAGTGAAGCAGCTTTTCTTGTGCATATACACAGAGCCAATACTGTACAATTCTTTGATTTCTGTGAATAATATATGGATTAATGATGGTTTTCTGCTGTTTTAGCCTTTTCATGACACACAGCATTTACAAAATATTCATCCATATTTGTTAGAGAATGATCAGGATGCCGATGCTGGTCCCAGAGTCCTACTTCACAAAATTCCCTGCCAAACCCAAGCCTGGAAAAACATTTCTAATGCGTGATCACCAGGGATCAAGAAGGAGCTGGTTCGATAATAATAACAATAAACACCGAACTAATACGGATCCCCATCATCATCATCAGCAGCTGTCTCATCAATACTGCATGCCTTGGATCGGGTTCCGGATGCTTCCGTCGACTGCAAATATTGTACAGCCATTCGTGTCTATTATTGGGAAGGGAAATCGTGCCAATTCTGAGGATCAGCAGTCCTGGGAACAACGGGAGGACAATCATTTTGAGGCTTGCAAGGATTTTCCGAAAGAAAATTGTCGTGATTTGCGAAAGGGCGATGTTATTTACCTCGTTTGTTGTCGGCACATCATTTCCTAAAATTATTATTTGCTGAGAAAAACGTGTCGCCATTGTCCGATTATTTTTTTTAAATAAAACTTGGAAAGATGGAAATCAGATCAGCAGCTTGAAATCATCAGACGAGTTTAAAAGAAATTAAACATGCCGTACACAAAAGAATGAATATAAGCAGCACATAAACAAACCCCACATGGGCCATCTTCTAGCAACCCAATTTAATATGCACTTGATGTCATCACTGTATAATAGTTTTTATTGAAGTTGAAAGCTCTATTCTACATAAATATATATCATTCTAATATGAACATATTAATGACATTCCAAATTATTGTGAAGAGGACAAAATTTATGTTTAAAAATTACGACATGTTACAGCGACATCTGTGTTACTTTAACGAAATGCGCAACGCGATGTTTCTGGATTAGTCAATGCAGTACGTGCGCTGTGATTCGAACCTAGGTCACCACGTGAACACGCCGAAACGGCTAACTCCGCGGACGGTTGGGCATCCGGAGTGGAAGCTTCTCCCTGGAATTACCGTTCGAGGTTGTGGAATGCTCCTCGTCATTTACATTGCATCGAGAATCGAGCATATCTGTAACTCGAAATACAGTATTGGCAACATAAAAATGTACTAGAAAGTGAAGCGTCAGCAAATTAAAAAGTGGTGTCCTAAACTCGCGAACTCTTAGTTCGCAGGTTTCAATGTTGAGTTAATTTCTAACAACAGTTACTGCAGTGCCACCGAAGTGAGGAAAGAATTGACGAGTTGTTTTGCCATTGCTTTAATCAGATGAACGCCGCGCAACCTAAAGCACGAGTTAACGAATCATATTCCTGTGATTCGTGGACTATTAGTCTTGATCGGTTTTCTATTCTGCAATCGATCTGTCGGTCGAAAGACACATGTGCCAACGCGAATACCCCTGAAGAACTCTGCGTTTTCTGCTCGTAAGTTCGCCAGTTAATCCGGAAGTTTTAGATCGTATATTATTATGGATTTCATGGTTTCAGTGTATCGAAAGATCTAAAAGATCTCCCGCAATGGCCTGAAATGCTTTTCGCTGAAAACTCCCTCCGGCTGACCCATTCCAGTGGGATTGAAATATATTTCAATGCTATCGAAGCTTTAAAAAAGGTGAAACTTCAGGAAGACTCCGCGAAAGTGGCCATGTCGGAAGTGTGGAAAGCAGCCAGGTAATTCCGCAATGTCTGCCATGAACGCGTATGCATTACTTTAATGTTTCATGAAATTCTTCAGGTCCGATTGTGAATATGTTCATTCCAAAGTTGTTCAGCCGTATGATTGGACCTTTACGACCGATTATAAGGGGAGTGTGTCTCCGGTGTCAGCGATTTTCCGTCCTGCGAATGATGACGAACGGATCAACTACACCAAATTGAGCAAAATGGAGAAGATTAATTTTTATGGAGAAATGGATTTATTTGAAGATGAGTTAGGCGACAATGGAGCTGCAAGTGTGAACATTCGTCTGGTGAGATTTTCCCCCTGTGCCTGCTCCTTTGTTTCGTGATCAATCAATTTGAAACCTGTTTTCAGAGAGTGATGCCAAGTTGTTTCCTTCTTCTCCTGCGGTTCTATCTTCGAATCGATCACGTCTTGATTCGGGTTTTCGACACTAGATATTATTTTGAATTTGGCTCCAACAAGCTCATTCGAGAGTTTTCTCGGAGGGAAAGTAAGCTTGCGGAAAATCGAGGGGTGAGTGAATGAATCTGAGCAAAATCAAGAGCGTTAGCACGTATTAATTTCAAAATATGTTACAGATTGGCGAAATTTTGTCTGACCGGAATCAAAGCAGCAATAACCTAGAGTTGTTGGAAGAAGTCACCGAAGTCCTGGTGTTGGACAGTTCTTGAACAAACGTTCCGTGATTTAATTCCTGTTTTACAACTTTTGTCAAATTATTTATGTGCAACATAAAATCATTGTCGGATCAAATCAATTTTATTTGACTCTTATTGCAGAAAAACTGATACATTTTAGATTGTGGATGATGGGAACGATCTGAGATGCGCGTGCGAAACAAATTGAGGTGTTCTCAAAATGGTTCTTCTTGCGAAAATTTGCGCGCAAAGGAAACTACTCTCCATCAAATGTAAAACAAGAATCGTAGTTTCTGGTTATCACCTGCTGATTCGAGGCGACTCCACGTTCAAGAAGCAAGATCGGATTGATTCAAGGTATCTTTTGGCTAGCTTAATAATTTATGAGCTTCTATGTTTCATAACTGTGATGGTGAAAGGAAACTAGGATAATTTTTCTGCTTGCACCAGTTGAAAAAAAAGGAAGCAAAGCCCAGTTGAAAATGAATAAGGAAACACGTTTTTCTGACCAATTTTTTCCTTCTTTATTTATCAAGAGTTCTATCCGCTCTTGTCAGCATTATTTGTAATCTTATGCTTGAAGACGTATCAACGACTTTTCGTTTGGCTGAGAAATTTGGTTTATGTGTGTTATAAACTTATGATTCAAATACCATATTTAGTCAACTACTACATGCCCTTTATTTAGACATGATCCCAGATTTTTTAGCTTTAAAATTTTTTGAAATTCTATCTGCAAGTGTGACACACACTCCCCATTTGTATTGACTGCGAAACGGTAATATTTTACAAATAATGCGCACCAGAATTTGAATTTATACATGATTTTATCTTGATTCAAATAACTTTCAACTTTTAAAAATGTTTTTTGAATTGAGTTTTATTTTTCCATTAGATTCAACTATGAAACATCCCTGAATTTCTGAAAGCTTGTGAAAACTATTTAACTTCCTATGATTCAAGCCTGTTCAGTCGAGAAAGCTTTTCAGTCAAAAATTTCTTAGATTGAGTACATCCCAAAATATTGAAAAAATAATAGCGCCCAAATTTGAATTCAGATGGAATTGAACCTGAATTCAGGTAATTTTTAATTGTTTTCATTACAATGAAGTGTTCTGTTGAAATCGGTTTGTAATTTCATTTGAGAATTAAATAAAATGCACAAGTAAACTTTTAAAACTTTTTCAAAAAGTATACCTTCCTAATTAAAAAAGGCTCTTCATTATACTCAAGCAAGTATAGTATTTATTTTATTTTTCATGTTCCTTCTCTTGATGAATCGAAAACTTGTTCACATTGAAAATTGTTGAATTGCAAGTCAACATCTGTGTAGAATAGCTCTTTAAATTCGATTAATTTATTTTAGATGGGATCTATGCTTGACAAGACCATACCAAAGCCTGGGTTCTCCGGCAACTGGAAGTGGGGTGTCAAGTTCTCCACTTCTGACTGGCACGGAGAAGAACAAAGTGGGCAAGCCAGGGTTTCATCCTGGCCACATGTCTACAGATGAAGAAAAAATTGCGGGAATACCCAGTGGAGAGAATGTTACCTCAAAAGAGATTCTCAAGGAAATGCTCGAGTATGTGTGGCCAAAGGTGAATGTTGTATGTGTTGTTGTCATGGGTGTGTATCTGTAAATTATGTGCTGTTTCAGGAGTTACCGGGGATTCGGAGACGAGTGTGTGTTTCTTTAGGGTTGTTGGTTGGAGCCAAAATCCTGAATGTACAAGTGCCATTTATCTTCAAACACGCTATTGATTTTCTCAATGAACAAACTGGAGTCCTGGCTCTGAATGGTGACCCAGCTTCCACTGTCACCATGTATGCAACTGCTCTTCTTGTTGGCTGTTAGTTTCACTGTTCTCAATGATTTGACCCATTAATTTACTTACATCTTGTTTAATAACAAAGTGATTCTGAAACCAGTACCTGGCAGTATCAGAATTAAATCTTGTGACATCAAAACGATTGGGACAGAAAGAAATCTTTCTTCTGGAGAAAATACAGTAAAATGTTACTAGAACTAAAGTTTGGGGAGTTCAGGAAAAATTCGTTGTTCTAAATCATTTTTTGTAAAGAGATTTTCAAAATGAATGACCCAACAATTTTCAAGTCAGACCTGCATGTAATCAGTTCATTCTTCTGGTGGTCTGATTTTTTTATTATTGAAAAAAAATTGAGTGGTCTTCTTGATATTAAAATTATCTTCTATCATGATCATGCATCATGCATTCCATCAGTTGCACCAGTCTCTTCATTCTTAGAAGATGATGTGTGGAACCACTTGGAAGCATGCTTGTTGCTGATAATAACCTTCATTCATGCTACAAGATTCATTCAGTCGAATGTGAGATCAGAAATCCCAGACTGTGTCTGCCTCAGTGAGAAAATTTATACCTGGAGAATCTATTGACCATGCCTCAAAAAAGTGTGTTATTCTGGAAATGGGGAATTTTGTTACATTATAATGAAATTGTTTTAACATATACTCTGAACTTTCTGTCAGGGCTTGAGAAAAAGTTTGTTGTGATGCTATTTTTTGTGGTGGTACAGTAGTTGTAACCAAGTTTTTCTGCAATGAGTTTGAAGAAATTCAAATAATAGTGGCTATTGGGCAGGGGCATAAATACTATTCTTTTATAGCAAGCTATGATGTAACAAAGTTCAGTGGCTTTTTCTCCTCAGCCCAGTTTGAATTTATTTTCAAAATTCTATGTGGAAAAAAATGATTTCAAAGGGTTTCCCCATTGCTGTGAAGAAATTCTCAAAATCCCCCTCTTATTAAATTTGTAATGAATTTTCATGCATTTACATGCCAACAAACAATTTAAAAATCCAACAACCGTGTTGCAAGGGAGAAATTTTTCTGAAATAGTGATGGAAAAGTTTGTGTTGATGATTCTAATTTTGAAGATTGATGTTAAATGCGGATTTGTTGGCAAGAAGTTGTTGAAGTTGAGTTGGTAATTCAAGAAAATCCATTGTAAAAAAGTAAAGTTTTGATTATTCTTTAGTATGAGAAAATTAGTTTATTTCAAGGTTCTATACATTTTGAACCATCTTAAAAGGGCAGTTGATTCAAATTAATCTCTCCATGTATTTGTTGCGAAGTTCACGTGTGCGTCGCTTTTGAAAAATGTCCACTATTGAAAATTGTTGCCTAGGCGTGATAGGACTTGGTAAAATCAGTAAATTTATTTTAGATGGTGCTGCAAGAGCAGGTGCAGCAGGATTCAATGAGCTGAGGAATGCAGTTTTCGCCAAAGTTGCGAACCATTCCATTCGTGCAGTTGCCCGAAACGTGTTTATGCATTTGCATAACATGGACTTGTCTTTCCATCTCGGGAGAAGAACTGGTGCTTTATCGAAAGCAATTGACAGGGGATCCAGAGGCATCAATTTTGTGCTCTCTGCTTTAGTCTTCAACGTCGTTCCGACAGCTTTCGAAGTGGGCCTGGTGTCAACAATTTTGGTAAGCATTTATTTTAATCGAAGAGGACCTGAAATTGTATAAAAGTGGATCTTTTTTCCCCTCAGTATTACAAGTGTGGCTGGGAATTCACGGCCGTCACGTTAGGATGCATAAGTACATACACAGCATTCACATTGATTGTGACAAAATGGAGAACTGCTGTGAGAATCAAGATGAATCAAGCAGAAAATCAGGCTGGAAATAGAGCGATTGATTCTCTAATCAATTACGAAACGGTCAAAGTGAGTGTGTTTTATCTCGGGGGAGGGGGGGGGGGGGTTCAAGATGATTTTTATAACGTTTTGCAAATTACTCGTGATGCAGTATTTCAACAACGAATCGTACGAGACCAAGGAATACGACAAGCACTTGAAGAAATATTCAGATGCAGCTCTGAAAACAACGACGAGCTTGGCAGCGTTGAATTTTGGACAGAATTTTATTTTCACATCTGCGATCACTGCGATAATGATTTTGGCTGGCAGACACATCTTGGATGGTGAGCTAAAAAGAGACATTCCTGGAAGAATTTGTGGTTGAAATTCTCGTTATTTTTAGGCACGATGACTGTCGGTGATCTGGTGATGGTCAATGGGCTGTTGTTCCAGTTGTCTTTGCCGTTGGGCTTCCTTGGCTCTGTGTACAGGGAAGTTCGACAATCGTTGATTGACATGCAGACCATGTTCGGTCTGTTGAAGATGGAGTCCAAAATTCAGGTTTTAGCTCTTGTTCAATTTTATGTGTGGTTTTGCGACGAAATTTGTTGAAAATCGAGTGTGATTTCGACAGAATTTGCCGAATGCGGAAGGAATTACCATCCCAGTGACTGAAGCGGAAGTCCGGTTTGAAAATGTGTCCTTTGGATACGTTGATGGATTGCCAATTTTGCGAGATCTTTCTTTCACTGTGCCTCCTGGGAAAAATATTGCATTGGTTGGGGGAAGTGGCTCTGGGTGAGATATGACGAAACTTTTGAGGAAAGCCCTGAATCTGTCTTTCTTTTTTATCCTGCCAATTTATTTGTTAGGTAACCTAAGTTTCAGAGTTAAAATCAGCGAAACACGTTTTTTTGTGAATTACAGTCAAACCTTGATTTAGTGTCATTTGGCAAATTTTGCACGTGTAAAGTGGGGTGGCACTAAATAGAGGTTATTGTATGAGAGGAAGGTATAGTTGAGGGGTTGTAATGTAAGCGAAGTAAGCTTGTTTTTCCATTTTTTTGGGTGCACTGAGCGTGTTTTCTAAGAAATAATGCCATAAGAAATAATTTTAAGCTGGAATGTACTGTTTTCGTACTTTATTTCCATGTGTTCAACAGAACAGAATGTACTAGACTTTTAGGAATACTGTGTTTAAAAAAAAGGGCAGAGCCGTTTCTTGAAGTTTGGTTTGAGTTTTATATCAGGTACAGTACCATTATGCAGGAATCACGCATTTTTCGAGGAAAGCTGTCACTTCATATTATTTTCAATATAAGTTGTCATTCAGCAACCAACAATATTTTTCTAGATGTAGATTCAGAAATGGAACATTCAAAATTTCCTGAGTTTTTGTTTGAGCATGGGCAAGTTATTCCCAGTATTAATCCAAAGATACCCCCTAGAAAAAGGCCTTTTGGCCCATAAATTAAGGGACTGGTAAAAGAAATACAGAATTTCTACAAAATGTTGAAGCATTCAATTGAATCAGTGTAAATCTCATTTCCTCAAAATTATGCTGTGCAATTTCAGCTCTGTGTTATCTTTTTGTTCTAAATTGGATTTTTTTTTATGAAAGCAGTAATGTGTGATATTGAAACCTTTCTGTGTTGTAAAAATGTCACCAATTGTAGAGCACCAAGGAATCAAGTGTTGAAGAAAAAACTTGAACCAAAGCTCATGGATCTTCTTATCTTGACTGATACAGTTTATTTTTTATTTTTAGGAAGTCGACAGTTGTTCGACTCCTGTTTAGGTTCTTTGAACCTGCTGCCGGAAGAATTTTGATTGGTGGCAAAGATATAAAAGAATTCAATTTGGATTCATTGCGAAAGATGATTGCAATTGTACCTCAGGTAATCGCGGCTTGTTTTGTGTTATTCCTGAGTTCTTTTGTTCAAATGTTCATAATTTTGCAGGATTCTGTGTTGTTCCATGACACTATCTACCACAATTTGCATTATGGAGACTTGAGCAAAAGTGAAGAGCAAGTTCATATGGCCGCAAGAATGGCTGAGATCCATGATTCTATCACTCACTGGCCTGCTCAATATTCCACGCAGGTTTGAGATGATTCCCCGAAGAAAAAAGGAAGTTTCAAAGTGAAGAATGTATTTTGTGTAAAACCCGCTTGATTTATTGAAGGTGGGTGAGCGTGGGTTGAAGTTGAGTGGAGGGGAGAAACAAAGGGTTGCAATTGCGAGAGCAATTTTGAAAGACTCGCCAGTTTTGGTGTTCGATGAAGCGACTTCGTCTCTGGATTCCTTGACTGAAAGGGTGAGACGAGGATTTCTTTTGTTCGATTTTAAATTGCTGAGTTAATTTTTTCTTTCTTTTGAAATCGCAGAAAATTATGAGTGCTTTGGAGCGTGCGACACGGAATCGAACTTCAATCATGATTGCTCACAGACTATCAACAGTCATGAACGCAGATGAAATTCTCGTAATTTCCAAAGGGAAAGTGGCGCAGCGTGGATCCCACCGAGATTTACTCAAAGACACGAACGGACTTTATTACAAGTTATGGACGACCCAGAATCAAAGTGATCATCTGGGCCAAGAGGGTCCCTAGGGTTGTTGAATTCGTATCCAGTGAGATTTGGGAAGTGTTTGCCGCCTTTTTGGTGTTGTTGTGTCCAATAGGGAAACATAGAATGGTTATTGTCATTCTACCCGAGGGAATCTTTTTTTCATTCGATTTGAAAAAATGAAATTTCTGTGATGAGAAAAACAGGACATGACTGAGAAGATTTAGTTGAACCTGTGTCATGACTCATGACCTCGCTGGACGTCAACCAACCGTTTTTAATTATTTTCGTAATTAATGGATGAGGCAATCTGAAACAAGGGAAGTCCTGAGGAAGAGAGGCATCGAAGGAAAACCTTCTATCAGCCCCGAATAATAACTGCTAGAAATGGATGGTTTACCCAGAATTTTCTGAGAATGTCTTTCCGTGGAAACGGAGCAATTTTCTCCGTCGAGATTCAAAACTGGTTTTTTTTGTCGTTTGAATAGCCGTTTTCCTTGCTGTACATGAAATCTTGCAAGGGTTTCTCTCAGAATTTCTATCGTTTTTTACAGATCATTAATCTCCGCTAATATTTAAGCTAAATGTCCGCCCTTACAATAATTGGTTGAAGTTTTTGCATGGGGAGAATAAAATTTTGAAAGCGAAATGGTTCATGAGGAGTTGCCAAGATGGATGGAGCTCATCATGAGCCCCTTCTTGTCCTCCAGAGAGCCGAATGCTTCATTGCCCAACATGCATTATTCTGGACAGGCTGAAGGTGTGCCTAGGAATTGTCTCTCCAAGAATTCCTCGAAAACGACTCACAGGTGAAATCTCTTGATTTCTTTCGTGCCTTGTTCGTTTGTGTCGGAATTTAAACGAAATGTGTTTATTTCGACTTTTTAGGAGCATTTCTCAGCCCCTGACGAGAAGGCACGGTTCTGGAGATTCCGAAGCCTCTGCGAAGTCGAGTGTTGAAGAAAAGCGGCCGCGGTCTTCGACGCATGTCCGACGAGATTCTATGAATCACAAAGATTCGAAAAAGAAGCGTCACGATCATCATCACGCTGACGAAGAGAAGTTGAGAAGGCACAGCAAAGGAAGAAAGTTGGAAGGAAGATCCTCGTGTCCTGGTTGTACATCGCAACGTGTTCGGCGTCGAAGTTCAAGTAGACGTCATTAGGTACTTCACACTACAGTACTTGAAATTCCTTCCCGGCGAAATTTTCGAGGAAATATTTCTTCCAGATCTGCCGCCGAACTCTTCGAAAACCTCGCGAGATACACTTTTTATTCCAATGGATTTTTTTTTTCTCTTTTTTAAGTCTCCGTGATTCGAATATTTGAAATGTACAGCTGTTTTCGAGAATTTATTAAAATGTGCCCGTGAAGAAATGGAACAGCGTCCTCTGCTGAGATATTCGAAAATTATTACAAATGTTGGGTTCGTTGGTGAACTTCTTGATCCGTTTGACTGCAGGAGGTTTGTGATACTGAGAAATGTCTGATAATGCGAAAGAAAAGCCCGGGCTGTTGAACAAAAAACTTGCAGCAGCGCCAGTTTTGAATCAAGAGGAGGAGAGCAGAAAAATCTTGGAGAATTTGCAGTTGAGGAAGAACTTTTTGCAACAAGGCACTCTGAGACCTGGACCAACTCTGCCTGTCATGGCTGTAGGGAGTGCAAAAGCGCAGGAATTGCTAGCTAGTGCACAGGCGGTTTCTCCTGGGTTTTACGTGTATCAAGTGAGTCTGTTATTCCTGTTTATAAACGGCTCTTTTATAAAAGTTTTAAATTTGTTTTACATTTTTCAGGACTCCAAGTATGGTAATAACATCTTGCCTGTGATCCCAAGGTTGAAACAATGACTGCAGAAATTATGTTTTTTTTGGTCAATGTCTTCATTGTGGTTTTTGTGTGGAAGAATTCCAAAATTGCCTCTCATTGTTCTCATTTTTCTTCTGGATGTTTTTTTCCATATTGCATTGTTGTATTGAATATCGTTTGGAATTTTATAGGAAAGTGTGATATTAAAGAATATTTGCTGGATTCATGCTGGTGTGGATGCCAGAATCCCGGCAAAGTTCTCATGATTTCAGGATGAGTGAGCATTTTTCTTGAACTTGTTCTGATCGGAAGTCTCTGCGGTAATGTCACTTAAGTGACAAGGGTATAATAGCACAGGGGAACAGATGTGTCACAGCATTTATAGAGGATATGCTCCGGAACACAATTTCTCCCAGCTGTCAAACAGTTGTACCTCTTCAACTTCTTTCAAAGTCATAAGTTATTGTTTGTCCGTTCAATTTCAACTTCCAACTGAAATCGATTTACCATCTCGCTGATGACTTGAAATCATCATTGAAATTACAGTATATGTGAAGTTTCATCATAATGCGTAATCCAAGTTCATTGAGAAGGGACATATGAAGTACTGTACTGTGTACTGTACATAATGATAATTACTGTATTTAAAAACATTCTATCATGAACATTATCAATTGTGGCAAGGCTTCACGAGGTTACCAAGTGAGGAATTGTTAGATGAGAACCAACTCCATGTGAAGGGGTGTGTTAGTATTCTCTTGGTTATTGATATACTGTATACGTCCAGAAATGGGATTAATGATGCCTGTGCTGGTGAGTTGACAAGAAGATGGTGCAGTGGTCGCATGGACGAAGAATTGACACTTTCAGATTGCTTCACTCATCCACTTGATTTGTGATGGGTATGGTTAAAATTGCATTTAATTAATCTTGCCTTCAGTGGAATCTTTTGCTCATAGCAAATGATTGCTTAGGAAAGTGTTCGTTAGGTCCCTGCCCAATAGACATAATATTGATCGAGTTTAAGAATAATGTTTTCCGCAATGTAGATGTTTTACATAAAGGTAACGGGTTCGTTGTAACAGGCTTTTTCTGTATTAAACCACTATAGGTTGAGGCCAAATTGTTTAATATCAACTGATGTGGTCCAAATTTTCGATAAATTGGTATGATCAAATGTGCGATGTCACATTTGTTGCGGACGGAAGCTCCCACAAAGCATTATCATACAGTACAGTACTGTAACTGTATGTGATCATACATACTGTACGTTCAAGTTTCCCTCCGGAAATAAGCGAAATCAGACCACCCGGAAGTCTCCCGGAACACATGTAGATTCAATGCGAAGGAGAGACTGCCAGTGAGGAATGTAGTGTGTGGAATGCGCACATGGCATGTTCTGTGGTATCCGTTTTTTGGGGTTATGAATGCTGTGTTTGTTGATGTCTGATGAAAGGGGCTTTTTGAACCTTATATTTCTCTTTGCCATGGAATTCCAGCCGAGTTGTAGGCCCCCATTGACCTTGTTCCGTTTCTTGACTGTTTTCGGTCATCAGGTACAGAATGATGTGTGAACCGGGTGATAACTTGGACGAATTCTCAGAAGTATTCGCCTATTTGTGTACAACGCCGGCGCATTTCAAGTCCCTTCAAATTTCTGACCCGGATCTTACGGATGCGGAGAAAATCGAAATCGCGAAAAACGTGCTTGCCTCGAATCCCGGCATGTTTTTGTGTCGCTTCGGAAATTTCCTGCTTCCCGAACATTTCGAACTATTCGAAAAGTTCCGGAGTGATTACGCAGTTGACCATTTGCTTTCTGAACGGAGACAAGCTTTAACTGCCCCAGGTTTCAGAAAAACTGTTGCATCTTCTCGCAATCGTCGACTCGCGGCAGCTGAAGATATGATGGAGGAGACAGACTACTTTTCAGAACTCGAGATGAAAAAGCGTGATCCTGTGTTGTATGAAGAAATGGTTGGGCGGTACATGACTGAGGAAGAGAAGCTCGCTTTGGAGTGCAGCGTGGGCGTTCCGAAAGACGATCAGAAACTGTCCACCATATTATCCGAACACTTCGCAAAACCTGAAATTCCTCCGAGTGACGAAGAAAGTGAAGAGATTTCAGCAGAGGAAAAGCGACAACTGAGGGAAGAGTTCAGAGATATAATGGTGGAAAGGTTCATTGCTGGCCACGAGACCGATTTTGATTACTCCGTAGTCGACTCCGATCCGCGTTATCAGGTCACTGTCGTTGATGACCAAGACGCTGAGGATTATTATTTCGATGCGGAGACGCCTTCTGAAGCTAACCAGTGATGTTTTCAATTAATTTACATTATATTCTGTAAACAAAAGCGAAGTGCATGGTGATCACCCGCGGCGTGTATAAAACCGATGGGAGCGCGGAAGAAACCGCCATTTGCTCTCCAGGACCAAAGGGAGACGTATGTTTATCGATTGCAGTGACAAGAAATTTTGTGTTGAATGTTTTAACGAAGAGGTGGATTTTTTGAATGGCTAATAACTAAGACAATTATTTTGATACCAATCGTGGGAGGAAAAAGAAAAATCATGGAAGATATTTACAGTTTCAGGATTCTACGTCTCGGTGAAACGTCATCAGATTTTGTGTCTTCCGAAGTGGTTTTTGAATCGAATTTCGCTCGAAGGATCCGAAAATGCATTGCTGCAGATTATGTTTCAACGTCGGGTTCATGATCCTGATTATGATCGGCGTTGCTCACGCGCATTTTGGAGCAAAAACACCGGGTGACGATGACGGCGGAACTTCGTCCAACGCAACCGATGTTCTTCGTTTTGACAAGCATTCTTTCATCAAGTACTTGTTTAACAAGTACGGCGACGACGTGAGTCCTGATGGGGTTTTTGTTATTTGCGATAGCAGCTTAGCTCACTTCGCTTGCTCAATAACATATTTTTAGTCGACTCCAACTTACTTATTTTAACCTACACCTGAAATGCCCATCTAAACCTGGTTCCTTCGTGATACATTTTTCAATAATTGCGGCAACTTGTCAACTGAAACTATTTTACTGACTGCTTCAGTGATCAGTTAATCCGGTTAAACTAGAATTCGAAAATATTCCTTTTTCAACTTTTTATTTCCGGTTCCAGTCTGAAATGAATCCAAAACCTCCCTCACTCGAAGGCTTTTCCTGTCAATCCTCCATGACCCGAATTTTTCGTAGGACTATTGGCTATTATTTCATTGTCGAATGAAAGAGACAAGCGGTAAAAATGTGACTTTATGTGTTCTGAAATTAAGTGAGACTAATTGGGCAAATGAACCCTTGCTGTTAAGTTCTGCATCTTGTCAACTCATTTCTAATGCAATTCAAAAATTTTAATTAAACTTGAAATTGATGTAACTGTTCCCCTAATGTGAAAAAAAACATTCAACAAGTCTTAGATGTGATAAAGCAGTATAGCTTTAAATCAAAATTTTGAGCAAATGTGAAATACCCTATACAGTACTGCTAAAACGTGGAGGGCAGTTATGATGCGTGCGAAACGGAATTGGTATTGTTAACATTCTTTCGGTGATGCATTTGGGTTTTGTAGAGCGGGACGATGACATTTGAGGGATTTGAGCATTTGTTGGAACAACTCGGTCTCGCAAACGTGGTGATTAATGATCACAAAGTAAACGATCATAAGGCCAACGGTTCTTTTGCCGAGATGCACAAAGATAATCACTCGTCGATTCGTGAGAAAGACGCTCATGTTGATCATAAGCATGATGAATCGTATTCTGCGATGGATCACGACCATGAAAGAATTCATCACTCGCATCATCATTCGATTGGAAACCGAGTTCGACGATCTGCAGAGGCCCAAAATTCTGGTGAATTTTGAAATTATGCTTGCTTTGAAACCTCTTGGATTTTTTTTTTATTGCGACTTATGCGCATATTTTCAGATGTCGGAGATGTGAAGCATCATCTGGATCTTCCTGTGAATCACGAGGTGAGTTTCCTGGGGAAGAAATATTCAAAATATTTTTCTATATTTTTACATGAAATCGATTGGAATGTCAAGCTTTTCTTTTGGTCCAGATTATTTTTTTTACTCCTTGTCGGTCACGGGTTTTATCGCTCTGTTTAACGCGAATTGCCCTGGTTGCCATGCGTGACAGACTCGCGTTTTCTTTTTTTCTCGTGAATTTTCTGCCGAATGAGAACACATTTTTTTTCGCGTGAAGGAATTTCGAGGCTTGGTTTTTGTTCTGAAATGATGAAGCAAATCAGGGTTTTCTAAATATTTAAATTATTGTACAGAATTGACAGAAACATGAAATGCGGTAATTTTTAAACTCATTTTTGAAGTTGGATTCAAGTTTTACTCAATGATGAATTGTGTTCGTCACTTCGAACGAACGCATGTTCAGATATGACGCAGAGCAGATGTTTTGAAAGAATAAGTTCGACAGCTTCCATATGTAGGGGATTGTAAAATGTCATTTTCTTGACGTTCATTCTTAATTGAGGGCAAGAGTGTCGAGCTCGACATTATTTTGTACCCCGAAGCGTTTGAAGTTTTTCTTTCTAATTCTTTTTTCCCGCTTGTGTCGAGAAAGGTCAAAGTCCCTGGATATTTTCCCATGAGGAAAACTAGTTCCCTCTTATTTTCTCGCCCGGAATTGTATACGATTTCATCGCAGAGTCATTTTTCATAGCGGAGTTGTTTTCGTGAGGTCTTTTGCGGAAAATCAGGGCAATCTTGGTGGCATTTTCCAGGCCTTGGTTGTCAGGCGAGAGAGTGGGTTTAGAAAGTAGGTTTAATGTGTGGACGTATAGTCATGATTTTTGGGCATTTCTTTCGCTTTTGAAAACGCCTAACT